CTTGAAGCTTGCAGTCAATCAGCAGCAGGAGGAGTTGATCAGACTTATATGTATATTAAATATATATACACATCAAAATACCTTTCATGCTGAGTGAATGTAACTCGTCACCCTGAAAAAACCCCAAAAATGTTAACAATTTAGTCATTCCGCTGAGACTTTTTTTATGTAAAAGAAAAAAAAATCCCTGCAATGTTTTGAAAAACGATTTTGGCTCTCGCTCCATGAAACGCTCCTGTACACTATCTTGGATTAAGTTCATTTACTATAGGCCATTACGCGGCGACTGTTTCCGCAGTCTAGGAGCCGCGCTCCAGGCACTTAGGGACTGTTTATAATTTAACCGCGGGTTCCAAAGTTCACGTCTCTAATCCGTCTTTCAGCCAGCTAGAAAGTGGACTCATCTCGGGTGTAAACACTTCACTTCTATAAATAAAGTGACTGATGATGTTTACGGGAGAGTCTTTAATAAAGAGAAGGTAGATTAGCAATATGTATCTCTGCCTGGGTCAGATTCGGCTCAGCGGGAGATGATGGACGACTAGAGCAGCACATGGAAATGATACTTTCTTATAAACATCTCAAGCTGGCCCAGGGGCCCGGATCAAGTTCTCTTTGTCTATAATGGCCCCCTCCTTTCTATGGTGTTAAAGTGGAACTCAAGCCAAAAAGTGTTTCTTTTTTTTATTGAGTAATGAAGGATTTATAAATGTCTGTCACCACTGGGAAAAATTTCACCCCGCATTTCTTTTTTTTTGGATGACTTTGTTCACCAAGACTGTAAGAAAAGTAAGGTATTCACGATTAGAACTTTGAATGGACAAAATCAATTTCGGAACGTTCGTTCGACTTTCTAATGGTTGATGGGGTCAAATCGACAATTGATTTTAACTGCAATGATGAAAAAATTCGAAGGAGCATGTTGATCGATTTCTAAACAGTGAATGTGGTTTTTGTTCAGAAACTCCATTCCAAAATAGAATGTTTTAATAAAAATGGAAATTAAAGGAAATTTTTGAATGACAATCGGCAGGTTTCTGATGCCAGTACTGAACGTTCCGACTGGATTGTTGGAGGAACGGTCGTGCAAAAATCTACCCGTGATGTAAAATTTTAATTGGGGTTTCTAACAACTGTTAGCTCTATTCAAAGCTTAAAGAAGTACTAAAGTATGAGCATATATACTGCCTGGCCACAAAAAAGTCGCCACTTGGATTTAGCGAAGCAGATATGTCAGAGCCTTCCACTGGATAAGTGTTATGATTTGTGGTTGCTTCAGTTAGTTAGGTTCAGTAACATTCTCTCCCCAAAGAAATAAAATCGGCTGCCGACCCGAATATGCTGAATGACCAGGTTCGTCCATCAATGGATTTTTTCTTCCCTGATGGCACATTGGACATATTCCAGGATGACAATGCCAGGATTAATCGGGCTCAGATTGTGAAAGAGTGGTTCAGGGAGCATGGGACATCATTGTCACACATGGATTGGCCACCACAGAGTCCAGACCTTAACCCCATTGAGAATCTTTGGGATGTGCTGGAGAAGACTTTAAACAGGGGTCCGACTCTCCATCATCACTACAAGATCTTGGTGAAAAATAAATGCAACTCCGGATGGAAATAAATGTTGTGACGTTGCATAAGCTTATCCAAACGATGCCAGGGCGTATGCGTGCCGTAATCAAAGGTAAAGGCAGTCCAATGAAATATTATGAAACGGCCCATCACTTCCAACAACTTCCTGGATTCCCAGTGTGCTTTACATCTCTTTCCCTGCTGCTTGATGTGATGCAGTTTCCATTTCTCAAGACTACATTTCCCATCATGCATTGCGTCCAGCAAACAGTGATGACATCGCATTGTGGGAAGTTCAGACGACAGGCTTAGAGTGGTGGCACAATGAAGTGCATATTCACAGGGCTGAGTGAAATGGTGTCATTGCATTGAGGAAGTATATCCTATGGGCATCTTCTAGAAGTAAATTTGCAAACTTCTAGATGGGTATGGTTATCAGGAGTGGGATCTTATGGAAATTCAATATAGAAATACATATTTATTCTTAGTTTTTGACCATAGAGTCCTTGTGAGGTTGGCATGCTTTGATTTTAATATCTGAATGAAGTCCGACGAGCTCCTTAGTTGTGTAAACACGTTCTTTCATTATTTGCGCTGCTCCTCGTAAATTAGTTCATGTCACATCCTGTCAGGAAGCAGGGGGTGTTGCCCCTGCTCGGGGGGCACGGGTTTCCCCTCAGCTTGGCAGAACTCCTGGAGCCCGGGTTGCGGGTACGCATGCGCGAGTTACCTTGGTTACCTGGTTACCTTGCCTTCTGACCCTTCCGGCTGCTTCCTGCCAGCGGGTTCCCTCTGTGCTGCTCGCCCGCAGACGCACCTGATACAGCCAGGCAATCTTGTTCTTTCCCACATGGCATTTTATAAAGTCTTGTCCTAAGCCACATTTACACCTCTTTTTGTCATGCCCTTTTTTTTTTTTTTGCTGCATTCTCCTTTCATCTCCCTTTTACCTACAGAGACGATGAGATTACAGCTAAATCCTGCTAATTGTTGCCGTTCCCTGCTCAGATTGTGTCCTTTGTTTAGTAAATCTCCTCATTTCAGGCTTGTACAATGCTGGCTGTGGCTGTAACCTCGGCTGCGGTGTTCCGTTTGCATTTTGTGCGTGTTCCCAGACATGGGCTAGTGTGCTGGTATTAGAGAAGGGGTACACGGGCTTAATTTTAAAGGTTCACTTTTTAAAGCTTCAGGTAAACGGCTAAAAATAACCTACTTATAAGGAAGCCGTTTTACCCGCCAAAGGATTAGTAATCTGCATCTGTCCTTCTATTCCTGAAATTTACACAGCTCTGCCACACAGCACTGACTGGTAGGGCAGGAGACCTGATTTTTCTTTGGTGCAGTTCAGTAATACTTATAGGTCTCCCCTAGCCTGTGACTGGACAGGTAAAGGAGAAGCTGAACACTAATGAACTCATCTTTTGGTCACTCTGTTTTCTTTTTCTGTCCGCATGTTCCTTGTTAGCACATGAGCACTACAGCACAACTGATTGGCTCCTTATTTTGCTCCCCCTTTTGCAGTCTGTTGTACAGGGATTCCAAGAGGCCAATCAGGAAGCCGGGCGGCGAGTCATTACCTGTCACTTGGTGACTAGGGAGCTTGTAGCCTGCTACCCAGCCTATCGGGAAGCCAGGCGCGACGAGTCATTACATGTCCCCCAGCTTCCTGATTGGCCAGAAAGCCGGCTCCATGCTTCCTAGTCATCTGGTGACGAGGGAACTCGCCACCCGGCTCCCTGATTGGTCGTATAGCTGGCCAATCAGGAAGCTGGGAAGCGAGTCATTACACGCCACCCAGCTTCCTTAATGGGACTTTCAGTATCGACGAGTACCGGAAAAAATCGGGACCAGATACTGAAAAAATGGTATTGTTCATCCCTAGTATTAATGAATAAGAGTCAAATGTGCTCCCCAAACACCCCTTTCAAATCTTATACTTGCCTGTCCTGGCTTTGCCCAGTGTCTTCCCTGTGAGACCCATTTGTCACGTGCCAGGGTAAGGAATTTGCAACAATCCGAATCTTGACTCTTCCCTTACAAAAAAAGTGCAGCCATAAAGCAGAGCTCCGATTTGCTTAAAAGAGTTCTATGGGGTAAGTGTTTTTCCCCATAGTTCTCTTTAGGGTCACGGGAGGACATATACTAACCTCCTCCCGTGACTCAAAGCTCAGTATATAGCAGGCTATTGCCCGCTATTTATTGAGAACGCCGCAGCCAGGGCGGATCCCGGCAATACTGTCTGGATCCACCCACCTGCGTGAGTGACTCAGCGCTGAAGGATCGGAGGGGGTAGGGGAATGCTTGCGGGAAGCGGTCACCTCTCTCATGGGGGCGAACCGGAAGTGAGCAGATCGGCGGCATGTTTCTGTTCCCTTCCCGATCTATAGAGCTCACCTGTCACAGCTTCTTTGTCACAGGTCGGCTCTAACTATGAGAATGAGTGAGTGGAAATCGCTCACCTCATAGTTCTCCTTTTAATCGTCGCTACTTCACAGAGCTGTAGGTACAGGCCCGGATTTCCCACAAGGCCACCGAGGCCCGGCGGCAGAGCGCAGAGGGATAAATAAAAAAGAAATAAGAAGAAATAATTGAATAAAAAGTGATACAAATAAAGAAACAGGAAAACAAAATTGAAACTACCTCCCCGCCATCTGGTTGCCATTCTCAATTGATGGGGAGGGGGGCTTGGCGGCGTGGGGGGGCGTATTGTGGAACCTGGCCTTGGGGCGGCAGGGGGAGTAAATCCGGCCCTGTTTAGGTACCAATATGATCGAGCACTTCCAAGTGGCAAATAGCCTGTCCCCCACTGGCCGCTGTAGTTCTTCCCACAAATCCCTGTGTCATTCGATCTCATATTCGTAATTTAGGGGTTGGTGGGTCTTGCCATGGCCTGAGATGTTGCTTGGATGGCATAGCTCTGCTGTAGAGGGCATGTATCAGGTAAGTATGACGGTTTTTCCTTTGCAGGAGACTAAGGATACATTATGCTGGTCATCCGACTAGCTTTCTTCGTTCCAAATGAATGAAGCAAGCTAGGCGGATGACCAGCGAAACATCTTGAAGAAAAATACAGCAAGGCCAGTTGGCTTGATTCATTTTCTACAGATATTGAGCATGAAACAATATATCTGATGCTATGTCTTCTTTAAATATTGCTTGCTGGAACTCTTCTCTAGCACCTTCCAGGAAAACCTGCAGATATTAAATTTCCTTTATAGCTCTCCGAGATTTACAAGCTGCTCCCCTCCCGGAGATTATATGACGGCGGAGGAGCTGCATGTGAAGTCTTGCATCTCGGCATCTGTGTGAATGTCATAGAATCAGTAAAGTGTGTTTATGTAGTGTCCGATACCTCGTGACGCTGAGTGAACCTCTCCTCAGTCCCGCAGATAAGGCCCTTTAATGCTTCTCATTGACAGCCGGAGACAGCTGAGGTGTTTCTCACTAATGGGCCCCGTGTGATGGATCTCTGTCTCCGCTGCAGTAAACAGATATCATTTCCATGACATCATATCAGATTCAGACCGAGCTCGTAGTGCGTTTTGTCATTGTTACAACAGGTTTTGTAAATTTAGATGGCGCTTCGAAGGCTTACTTCCATTACTGAATGATAAAGAAATGTCGTTTTGGTTCTTTTTATATTTTATTGAAGTGTAACTCCAGGATTCCGACACTAAACTCCGGAGTTAAATCTTAAAAATACATTCAAGTACCTTAACTATGAACAATAATGCATCTTATTTGTGTATCACTCGGCTGTAGATCCTCAAATCATCTCTGAATTGGTACTGACACTGTCCTTCCTTCTGGAGGGGGGCTACTTTTGATCCCCATGGTCCCACAGTCCCCCAGGAAGGCTTCTTGATTGCCCGGGAAGCCGGCTTCCCAGCCAATCGGCATCAAGGCCGGCTAAACAGATCTGACAATATGGTGACATGACCCCCCCCCCCCCCTGCAGGACCCTCATTCCCCTCACATCCTCGAGAGCGGTGTCTGCCCAGCTGGCCAAGGGACTGGTACGTCAATGAATGCTGCTAAGGATCTATGTGAGGGGAATGAGGTGCTTGCAGGGTGGGGGTCGTATCGCCATATCAGATTTGCCTGCCCAGCTCGGACACTGTTTGGCTGGGAAGCCGGCTTCCCAGCCAATCAACATTGAGCCGGCCAAACAGCATGGAGCCAGCTTCCTGGCTCCATGTTTCCTTATGGCACTGCCGGTCAGAGGAAATCTCCCTCTGACCGGAAGTTCCAGTATCTGGAAAGGTATCGGAGCATTTGGGCAAGTACTAGTATCGGTGGATCCCTAGTAGTCACCTCTCCAAGCTCGCTTCTCTGATAGACTATAACTTCGATACAACATGGTAAACCTAAAAAAGATTGTAGTTCATGACTGGAGCAAGCTTAGAGGCCGTCTTTCATCCTCCAGCCAGGAAATGAGGGCGAGCTCTATCTGACTTGCTGCAGCTTCTAGTGCACCTTGTGAGAAGCTCCCAGTGTGCAGTGACATCAGAGGAAGCAATTTCAGTCCAGGAGAGGAGCCGATACAGACTGAAGGGAAGGCCGAAGTTCAAGCTGAAGAACCGGTTAAAGAGGAAACTGGTGTTCCTTTTATATTTTTGTTGCAAGTCTGCTAACCAGATGCAGTGATAGAGGAGCGAGTTGGTATCCCTGGAACGTGCACATGCGTGTACACACACACACACACGTCCTGTTGTTGCATGGAATATGAAGGGTGGAAATGCGGAGCTTACTAAGCTCCGTACAAAAAAAACTTGAGGGCGCCAGATGTTTTTTCTCCTCTGAAGTTGTAAATGCGTGCTGTCTCTGCACAATTAATCGCACTTGTGTTTGTTGTTGCTGTCTAAAACATAAAATACAGAGTTTGTGTTTCGGGAATCGGCGGCTCCTACTTTGACGGCTTTGAAGAAATTTTCATTGTGTTTCTGACTTCTTGGCTTTGTTTGCAGCCGCTCAGATCTTTTGTTGAAATTCTTTTTTCTTTTTCGAAACAATGTTTTATATTTGTGTTTGTTGTTGTTTTTGTACTTGCAGTTCTTGCAGACAACCTGAAATCTAACCCCGGGATCAAGTGGCAATATTTTAGCTCCGAAGAAGGAATTTTCACCGTGTTCCCAGCGCACAAGTTCAGGTGTAAAGGGAACTACGAGCACCGCAGCAGGTGAGAGCGCATCGAATACGATATGAAGGTCGAAGAGAATACATTGTTTTCTCAGCCGAGGCGTAAAAATAAAATCTACGTTTTTGTTGGATATTTATTATTAGTGATTGACCGATATCAGTTTTTCGGCATTGAGGACAAGTACCGATATTTTGCTTTCGGTACTCGCAGATACCGGTGCGTCTGCTGGCATGGAGTTGGCTTCCCGGGCAATCAGGAAGCCGGGAGGTGGGTCATTACTCGCTACTTTCTCGCCGGGGAAGCCGGCTCCATGTTCCCCTACGGCATTACCGGTGAGAGGAAATCTTCCTCTGACCGAGAGTTCGGGTATCAGGGAAGGTATTGGAGCATTTGGGCGAATAAGAGTACTCGCCCAATAACTCAGTATCGGCACCGATACTGGTATCGGTGCATCCCTACTTATCATTCATTTCTCATCCTCTCTGGCACCCCAGCTAAAACATCAGATAAGACTGACAGTGGGGACACCTGCTTGTAAGTTAACTTGAAAACTAAAGCCAAACTTTTTTTTGGCTTTAGTCCTCTTTTGGTCACAGGAATAGATTTACTATTGCTCGCTATATGCTGACAGTGCAGAGCCGTGGTGCAGCTGAGAAAGATCCCAACAATATTGTGGAGATCCACCCCCTGCCTGATTGACAGCTGGCTCTGCCGCTCCAGAGCCAGCTGTGTGTCCCCCCAATCCACACTAGAGGAACAGAGAGGGGAGGGGGGAATCCCTGTCAGCCACCACTTTTTGCATGGAAAGAACCATGAGCTGGTCGATCAGCGGTTCGTGATCGCTCAGCTCTTGATCTATAGGTCCACCATGTGAAAGCTGCAGTGTTACACGCCGGCTCTAAGAGTACATTTTACTCTCCCAGTACTTCTCCTTTAAAGCTCACTAGTTGAAAATATATGTAATAAGGGTATTGTTCTTAAAGTGGTAACAACCAATAATAATTCCAGATCCAAAAATATACATCGCCCAGCAAAGTATTTCTTTACATATTTGCCCAAGCACTTAGTCATCATGTTTCCAAACTGCTGGTTCTAACTTAAGCAGAACCTCCTGTTGAGTACAAGATCACAGGGACAGAGCAGTCTCCAGCAGCCATCCATCTACTAGCTTGAGGAAGGTGGGAGTGGATTGCCTTGCTGTGCCTTTGTGAGTTTGGCGTCACTTTAAAATTAAGTGACACTAAACTCAGGATTTGAATCCTAAAAATACATTAAGTACCTTAATTAATAACAATGTATCTTATTTGTGTATCACTCGGCTGTAGGTCCTCCAATCATCTCTGAATTGGTGCTGACACTGTCCTTCCTTTTTGGAGGGGGGGCTACGTCTGTTCCCCATGGTACCTGTGTGTGTAAAGTAGTCACCGCTCCAAGCTCGTTCCCAGGATGGACTACAATCTCAATACAAATGAATAAACTAAACATGAGATTGTAGTCCATGCCGTGATTGAGCTTGGAGCGGTGACTTCTTTACAACACATACAGGGCCCATGGGGAAGAAAAGTAGCCCCCCTCCAGGAGGAAGGACAGTGTCAGCACCAATTCAGAGATGATTGGAGGATCTACAGCCGAGTGATGCACAAAAATTTATCTTATTTGTGTAATAAGGTACTAGAATGTATTTTTTAGATTTAACTTCTGAGTTTAGAGTCACTTTAAATCAATTTAGAAAGATACTAGATACCCACCCAGGGCCATGAAGGATCAGACCTAAATAGTGTATAGAAAGAGGGATTTGGGAGCTATGTTGCTAATTTCATGTTTTGTGGAACCTTTTTTTTCCTCTTTCCATTGCTCTGACTGACTAAGCATGATTCCGCTAATTTGAGAATTCGAGGCCTAGACCGTTCACAGCAGTTCGCTCGACAATCTGTTGATATAGCCAAGCATCAGAGATTAGTTTTCAACACATTCCACCTCAGTCAGGCCCCCTTCTCAGATGCCTGAGCAAGCATTGTAGACACCCCTCTCCTCTGTTAGACAGACAGAGCTGCTGGAGCCCGGGCTCTGAGTGATGCTTGAATGGTTTACACAATGGACCTTCGAGACACAGATCATTAAAGCCAGCGATCTGTCTTCCACAATGTACAACGCTCGCGAGTTTCCAGGTTCAGTCCAGCCAGGCGTTGTTGGAGAGGCTTGTACAGAAATCCTTGAGTTTGTTTAGCAGAAGCACTTCAGACGCGAGTGGCCAAACAGACTTGATGAAGAGATTTTGCTGCTGTTACAGTAATAAGTAGTAATCGAGGCAATTTGTGATATGACGGCGGGTTAGATTGCTGCACACAAGTTTCTCATTGCGCTAATAGTCTGTCTTTGGGGGGGGTTCAGGGACACATTTTTGGCATTTGCCGGTCTGCCAGAAAATTATACTCTGTGTGGATTAGTTACTGACACACTTGGAAGCTCTTGCCGCAGGGGTGCCAATTTGCGCGCTGCTAGCAGTGATGTAATGACAAGGCTGTGACAGCGGGCAAAAGCGGAACATTGGTTCCAGTAGTGGCAGAGTAAACACTGACTAATGGGGAAATTGGTTCTGCTGAGGTTTAACTGCCCTCAGTCCGAATGTGTGTTGTAGTCACAGGCAGCTTCACGAAGGAACTACAAGTCTCAGACTTTCCAATCAGGCAGGAAATTGGCTCTGGTGAGTGTTAACTGCCTTCAGTCCCAGCTTGTTTTGTAGTCGCAGGCAGCTTCCTGCAGGAACTACAAGTCTCAAACTGTCCAATCAGGCAGGAAATTGGCTCTGCCTATTTTTAAATGCCCTGGGTCTGAGCTTGTGTTGGAGTCGCAGGCAGCTCCACTGGGGAACTACAAGTCTCAGACTGTCCAAATGTAGGAAATTTGCCTCTACTGAGGTTTTAACTGCCCTCAGTCTGAGCTTGTTTTGTAGTCCAAGGAAGCTTCCTACAGGAACTACAAGTCTCAGACTGTCCAATCAAGCAGGGAATTGGCTCTACTGAGTGTTAACGGCCGTCAGTGTGAGGTTGTGTTGTAGTCACAGGCAGCTTCAGGAAGCAACTACAAGTCTCAGACTGTCCAATAGGAAATTGGCTCTGCTGTGGGTTAACTGCTGTCAATGTGAGCTAGAGCCAGCAGCAGAGGTGGAGAAGCACAGATCCACAGAATAAAAGAGGCAGAAGCAGGGAGATCCTTGCTCTGCAGGTCCTCAGCTGCAATTTGCTCTCCGGCAAGAACTGTTAGCAGCACAGTAGAAACATCACCAAATAGCACTCCAAATCTGGAGAGACCAGCAGTCAGAGGCAGCATTGCCCTAGACCATGGGTTGGCAAACTTCGGTGCCCCAGCTGTGGTGGAAATACAAATCTCATGAGACATGGAGGCACAGGAAGTGCATTTTATTTTCAGGACATGAGAGTTCAGGACATGAGGTTCAGTTTTCCGGGCACAATTGACACTTGCAGATTTTTCCTTTTTAAAATTGCAGATCTTCAGTTCTTTAAGTTTAGGTCACTTTAATGTGATTTTTGATTTTCTGGACTTTTTTATTTTATTGTACAAGTTTAAGAAATGCAAAAGGCTCATTCATTCTTCATCTATTGAACTAGACCCATCTACGTGTCCACGGTGCGGCCGCAGTCGAAGCACATAGTGGTCATCGTGGATCACGGAGCTTCCATCACGGAGCCGCAGCTGCAGATAGCCAAAGATGCTGCAAACGTTATTCTAAACTCCATCGACGAGCATGATAAGGTGAGTGAAAAATTAACGCCGGAATCTTTTATTTTTTATTTTAAAGAAGTCAATTTATAATACGGACAAGTGGCTTTGAAGGGTGTTATACATGCCAGTAGTAGGCTATATAGGACCAATTCACAAAGTTTTAACACACGGATATGGATCTTTATTTTAATCATGTGACTCCTTTTCAACTCTCATTGAGCGCAGCTGAATATAAATGTTACTTACAGCATGAAGCCCCATTCACATTGAGCGATATATCGCGCGTTAATTCCCGTAATATCGCGGCAAATTACCGCGCTCCAATGCATTTCAATGGGGCAAAGGGTCCTGCTGTCGCGGGCCGTGTGTCGCTACAGCAGGACCCTTTTTGGAGCGGATTTAGCCGCGATTCAAGCTTGGTCAATGCAAGCTTGAACGCGATATCGCGTGGCAAATCTCGCGATGTCGCGCAATATGCAAATCGCGTGACAAACGCGCGATTTGCATATCGCGCAGTGGGAACGGGGCCTTAGGCTGGCCATACACCGATCAAGTTTTTTAATTCAACCCCGCGGTCTGAACGTAAAAAAATTGACCTGATTCCTCCATCAACACAAACAGCATGTCGATCAAGGAATACCGCTGTTTACATTATGTTCTGACAGAATACCCGATCAGAGTGGGCAGCTCATTGGTTGCCAGGTGTGATGGGCCGAAAATTTTGCAGCAGGCTCCTTTTAATCAGCTGATCGAGGAATGCCGGCTGAAAGGGAGCCGACAGCCTCACACACTGTGCGAATTTCGGCCAGTACACTAAAAACCGTCCGAAATTCAAAAAAAGAGGCAAAATTAAAAAGTTTATAAAAAAATAAAAATCAAATATTTAAAAAATGGGAAAAGAATTTAAATAAACCTTTTTTCCGGTTTCGCCCTGACAATTTGTTTTTTATTTCGGTTTTGGAATTTCCATTTCGGTTCACCTCCTACTATTTACTACTCTATCCAATATGGGGGAAACCATTTTGTGCATTGATATACTTGAAGCACTTCTTTTAATTCTGGGGGTTGTTGCGTAGGATTTCACTAGTTGTAATTCCATGAACTTTGCTTGACCACTTACCCTACTTGGGATTCCGCGGTTTGTTTTAACGAGCCCATAGGGCAGCGCCTTCTAAACGAGGCGTTACGGTGGCGCAAGAGGGGAAAAGAAAAGGAAGTATGAAGTACCGTATTTCATCATTGAGTGGCAGAAGCACTGCGACGGAGAAAGCATGTTTTAATCATTTTGGGAGCGCGGTCAAGTTAAATAGTTGCTAAACAAATAGCAGGAGAAATATTTGGGGATAGATTCACTATTTGGCAAGAGAACGCGGAGCGTCTGACATCTGTACTCTGAATTTATTCTAGAAATAATACAGAGAGTCTCCAAAAATATTCCTCTGGCAATTGGGTGTAAAGAACAATCACAGGCTGCAAGACAAATGTTTTTACAGTGCTGTCCGAACAGTCGTAAGGCCGCCCCGTCAGATCTTGAAATCCGATGCTCGCCATGTTGTGGATAGAAGCAATTAAATCACTATTTTTTTCAGATGACACTGTAGTGTGTATTTATTGTCTTTTACAGAGTTGTGTATGTGATCACCTTAAATTAGAAGAAAAGGCTGCACCGTGGGTAGGCAACCTCGGCACAACAACTGTGCTGAAACTACAAATCCCATGATTCCATTGCCGCTAGGAGCCATGCCTTTGCCCATCAGTCTTGCAATGCTTCATGGGATTTGTAGTCCCACAACAGCTGGAGTGCCGAGGTTACCTTCCACTGGGCTACACAGTATCCCATGTGTTAAATATTGCTTGCTCTGATCCCTCCCTGTATACATTTTCTTTAAAAATTTGCTTTCTGAATGCCTTTATTATTTAAATATTTCTATGTGGGTCATGTGACTGCAGCGCTCTGGTGAGTCTGTGTACTGTGGAAGACCGACAACACTGCTGAATCCCATAGAGCAGTGACATCC